ACACTGTTGGCAGTATTGCAAACCAGCCAACTGAACCCCCAACAGGCTGTGACAGTGAATTACTTGTTGTACAGAGTAATCATTCTGAAAGGATTATTGTTGGAGACTGCATTAAGTTTCATAGAGTCCCTACAGTGTGGAAGCAGGCCATTCAGTCCTTTGAGTCCACACTGACCCTCTGAAGAACATCTCACCCAGACCCATCCCCTTACCCTATATCTGCATTTTCCACCCTAGACACTGTGGGGCAATTTAGCATGGCCAATCCACCCTAACCTGCACATCTTTGGACTGCGGGAGGAAACCAGGGCACCCAGAGGAAACCCATGCAGATGCTGGGAGAATAGGCAAACTGCATATAGAGAGTCACCTGAGGCTGGAATCGAACCCTGGTCCCTGGTGCTGTGAGGCAGTATTGCTAACCACTGAGCCATTGTGCCACCCCCTGATGATGTCATACATTGTTGGGTGGAATAGATAAATGTAGCTTGAGATCCTAGTGGAGACAGATGGGTCATCAGTGTCTCCGGACAGTGTTAGATATTATGTCTAAATAGCCAACGTAACATGTACCTATTAATAGTATGCATTAAACTACTATCAATGATTAATAACTATCTTATTAAGAAATGCCTCTTCTTGTTAGGACTCACTAGTGATTCATGCTGTACCATTGTTAACCAAATTGGTCCTTAGAACCAGCATGGAAAGGCGGACTGATACCAGCATTTTACCTTCCCCATCTGTTAGTTTCCATAATACATGCAATATTTCTGACCTGATACAGTGGCTTTGAGGCTGACCTGATTAGCAAACAAAGATCAGATTAAGAGGGTTAAGCACCAGAGGTGTAAATGGGCATGTATATCCTGGAGTCTTGCTGGTTAACTGTTAGGGTTCAGCAAATACTTAAGTGGCACTTCACTCTGAAAGAAGAATCTTGCATTTTCTTTGCTGTTTTCACAACCTTAGAATGTCCCAAGAGGCTTTACAGGCAATGAATTATTTTTGAAAACACTGCTGTAACATAGGGAACATGACAGCTAATTTACACACAGCAAGACCCCATAAACAGCAATGACAGAATGACCAGCTGATCTACTTTCTATCAGTGATGTTGATTGAGGGACCCTTGGCACTACTTGTAGAGCAGAGGGGCACTCTAGTGCAAGGCCCAGGACAGGGAGGTTTTGTGTGGCACTAATCACCAGGGTGTGGGCCTGTGGGGAGACTGGGCTCATTGGCCAAATACTCTCTCAACCTGGAAAGTCAGTGACTAAAGCAGCCAGTCTGACATGTAGACCATTTCGAGTGACAGGTTACTCAGCAAATGGCTCCTGTTTCTCCAAACAACGACATTCATTGTTCAAGTAGGAGTCTGATTCCTCAGTCCCTCCTTTCTCTGTGCACTCATCACTGCTTTCTTTGCTCCTCTTCAGAGCTGACTGGAGGCACCTGGAGAAAAAGGGAAGGTAAAGCAAATCTAAAGTTATCCCCTACAAAGCTCTATTCCCATCTCGACATCTCCCAGTCACTTGATGGTGTTTTGGCCCTGACATCCCCCATGAATGAGTGTAAGTGTGTGAGTAGGACAGTGTGATGGAACGAGTGTGAGGGAGAGTGTGATAGATAGAATGAATGGGACACTCATGAGACTGTTTGGCATGGAAATACAGTATAAAAGTCAAGCTATTTTGCCCACATAAAACACTGGTCCGAGATGTGTCCTGCAACTAATTTTACTAAAAACAGATTATCTAGTCATTGATCTTGTTTCTACCCATGGGAACCTGGTATGAACATTTGCCAATTTTACAACAGCGACTGCACTTCATAAGATTACTGTATTGACTGTAAAGCATGTTGAGACATTCAGAGGTCAGGAAAGCTCCTTAAGTACAATCTCCTTCTCTCTAACAGGCTTAATGTTAAATGCCTGCAGACTGTCAGAGGATGGGGATAGTAAGCAGTTTACTGTAATAAGGTACTGGGAAGGAATGAATTGGAACTAGAAACAGTTGCACGAAGTAAAGCGAGATTTGAAAAGCACAGCTGAAGATCACTGAGCCAGGTTTTTAAGAGGATATACAATCCATACAATTGGCTCCTATCTGTTAAGGGATTATAACAGGAGGTTTGGGTGTAGTCTCTATTGCTCATCCTTTGGTAGTCGTTTTATGCTTCAGATTGTCCATAAACTGTAGTCCTTCAAGTAGAGTCATACAATGCAGGAGGCCATTACAACCATTTAACCCCTTACCCTGCACATTGTCAGAGCTATCTATTGAGTCTCGCAATCCCCAATGTCTCTCTTCCTCCAAACTGCCGGGTCCAGCTGAGTTCATTTTCACTGACGCAACAAATCTTGCCAATTCTTTATCCATGAATTTCAACAATAGAGTAAACAACAAAAGGAAGTGTGGAGCCTGTTTGTTTATGCGCCTGATGTCAACACACACAGCAGTTTGCATCAGGCGTCCCTGGATAACAATCAGAAACCCCTCCTTAAATCGCAAGGAAAATAAAATGCTTGACACTGCACGGGAACACAGTCATGTTCATTCACCCATGTTACTGAAGCTGGACTTCAGGATGACAGGTCAATGCCACATTAATTACCTGCTCCCTGGCTGCCTCTTATATCAATACCAGCAGGGTACTGAGCATGACCAACCATAAGCAAAGATACCATCTCTGATTTTAACACCCTGCCCACGTCTGTGACAATGGAGTTGATGTCGTGATGAGATCAGACATGCTTGCACTAAATGGTTGAGCACGTTCAAGGGGGTGAATGGACTCCTCCTGCTCTTAGTTCTCATGCAAGTGCCCAGCTGAGATGACCATGAATTAAAAGGGCTGGAGGTATTTTTTAAAATTGTTCATGGCATGTGGGTGACCCTGGCTCGGCCAATATCTACTGCCTATCCCTAATTGCCCAGAAGTCAGTTAAGAGTCAACCAGTTCTGAGGAAGGGTTACCGGACCCGAAACGTTAACTCTGTTTTTACCTTCACAGATGCTGCCAGACCTGCTGAGCTTTTCCAGCAACTTCTGTTTTTGTTCCTGATTTACAGCATCTGCAGTTCTTTCGGTTTTTAAGAGTCAACCATATTGCTATGGATCTGGAGTCACATGTTGGCCAGACCAGATAAGAAGAGATGTTTCCTTCCCTAAAGGGCATGAGTGGACAAGACTTTTTTTTGTGATGCAAAGAAATGGTTACATGGTCACCATTAGGCTAACTTTTCATTCCAGATATATTTAATTGAATTTACATTTCACCATCTGCCATGGTAGGATTTGTGTATGTCTGCAGAATATGAGCGTAGATTCAGGATTATTAGTCTAATGACTTGCCACTCTGTAACCGCCTTCTGTAAAACACCGAATGATGAATGATTTTATTGTCATGTCTACTTTACAGTGAGAAATACAATAAAGTATAGAGAAAAGCTTTCATACTTCGCCACAATATGGCACCATTTTGATAGTTTAAGAAGAGAAAAATGAAAAGATACAGCTAATAGAGAAGTCCAGCTACATCTGAGAACTGAGCCTTTCAGAACGAATACCGCCTCGTCTACACCAGGCCTAAATAATGTCAAAATTGCCAATCCTCAGGCACCATCTTTCATCTCCACCACTGCCTGCTCCAGACCCACCAATATTGAAGTCTCTCACTGCGGTCCACCTCATCAATGTTACCGTGATGCCCTTCCGCCACTGATTCGCTGCCGCCAGTGCCAGACCCAACCAATGACGAATCATCATGTGCCATCTTTCACTACTGGGCCTACCTCGCTGCCGTTGCCTCAGGGCTCTTTCCTCTCCATGCTGGGCTCAACCCTTCCCCGCGCTGGGCTTACTCTACCCCACAGTTCTTTTTTTCATTCATTCATGCGATGAGGGTATCACTGGCCAGGTAGCATTTATTGCCCATCCCTAATTACCAAAGAGAGCAGTTAAGAATCAAACACTTTGCTGTGGATCTGGAGTCAGTTGTAGGCCAGAGCAGGGAAGGATGGCCTTCCCCAAAGGACATTAGTGAACCAGGTGGGTTTTTCCCGACAATTGACAATGGGTTCATGGTCATCATTAGATTCTTAATTCCAGATATTTATTGAATTCAAATTCTACCATCTGCCATGGCGGGATTTGAACCCAGCTCCCCCCAGAACTTTAGCTGCGTCTCTGGATTAACAATCCAGTGATAATACCACTAGGCCATCGCCAGCCCTAGCCATTGGGCTCACTCTCCCCACACACCAGTGCTGATCTTCCTCTTCTCCGCAAAATGTCCGCACCAGGATAACTCACCATCATCAATGCTGTTCAAACTCTTTATGGGAAGTAAGTAAAGCTAAAGGTAATTAAAAGAGAAAAAAAAAGTAAAGAAGAAAAAAGAAGAAAAGGAAAAAAAGAAAAGAAAAATAGGAGGAGCAGACGAGCCCTGAGCTTGGGAGATCTACTTTGCCACCATTTTTGCACTGATCCTGCTCGTACAATCCTTTATGGTTTCATCCATAATTCCTCTTTATAGAAAACAGAGGAGGTCTCTGAACTATAGGTCAGTGAGGGTCAGGCTATTTATGCCTGTATGTCCAAAAGCTTAAGGCCTGAAGACATCTTTTGCATCTTGTTGGGGGCCAACTCTAACTTCATTGGGAGGTCTGGACACTAAGGGACAAAAATTGGCCCAGGCTGAAAAGCTAAGTATTTGCTGATTCGACAAGAGGTTTCCTTATGAGCCGGCAGCAGTAGAAGTCATGCCCCACCAGGAAACCTCTGTTCCTTTCTCAATCCTAAGAATATAGGAGAGAAAGGTCCACTTCATGCTGTTGCACCATTCCATAAGATCATAGCTGACCTGACATTGTGAAGGTATCTAGGTTAAGGAATAAAGATGGCAGCACAGTAAGACACTCCAGCTGGATCTCCTCTGTTCTGCCTATTCTTTTACTTTCTTTTCCTCTTCTCTCTTCATTGTTTCTCTTTTAGGCACTAGGGGAATGGAGGAGTTGGCAAACCCCAGAGGCAAATGCGGCAGTGGAGGTCAGCGCAGGGTGAAGCACTCCCAGAGCAGCGGCTGGCACAAGGAGTGAGTCCTAAGTGGCCACCAGCATGGGGAAGCAGTCCTAGGGAAAACTCACCTTGGAGCAGCTGAGAGCCGGTGCGGAATGGACTGGAGGCTTGGAGAGGAGTGGGGCCCAGTTGTTGGACTGGGGCCTGGTGCGGGCTGTCAGACCACATATGGCCGTCCCTGCACTGAGCTACTGCAATGTAATGTTTATTGGTGATTTGTTTATTTGACTGTAATGTCAATCCTTCAACTATGTCTTATTTCTAACTTATTCTTTAAACACTGTAAAGTGATGCAACTACTTTTTATTCCTGCTTTGTACCTAAGATTTGTACCTAGGTATTTTGTACCTAAGGTGGCGCTAAAGGAGGCGACATTGTAAAACTTTTCACTGTACTCCTATACTTCTGTACTTGAGTACATGTCACAACAAAGGATATTGTCATTCTAAGGAATCATACGATCATAAAGGATTATAAAGTGGAAAATATCTATTTTCCTGTGAATAAAAGCATTTTTTTTATTTTAGAAAGGCTAAATACAGCTTGTACTGCATAGCCAAGAGCTCCTGTGTGAAAGGGACTTGATTCCTCTTGTCATTATAAAGATAATCTCTGATGAGAGGGATTTAGACCCTAAGTCATAGGGTGAAGCAGGGCTGTATAGACTTGTTGTCCAGAGACCCAGACTAATGGGGAAGTGAGTTCAAATACCAACCTGGCAGAGAGTGGAATTTAAAGTCTGTTCATAATTCTGGAACAGATGACAAGTCTCAGTCATAGTAACAAAGAAACTATTGTCCCCAGACAGGTGCTCTACTCCCAGCTTCAGAATGCTAGGTGAGCCCCAGGTGGACAGTGGAACCGTTTCAGTGATAGCCTCAAGGCCTCACTGGTGATATGCGGCATTCCCACAGCCACCTGGGAATCACTGGTCCAAGACAATCCAATATGGAGGAGTAGCTCTGGGAAGGCATTGATGGCCTCGTGGTATTATAGCTGGACCATTAATCCAGAGACCCAGGTAATGTTCTGGGGACCTGGGTTTGAATCCTGCTGTGGCAGATGGTGGAATTTGAATTCAATAAATATCTGGAATTTACAACCTAATGATGATCGTGAATCCATTGTCGATTGTTGGAAAAACCCGTTTGGTTCACTAATGTCCTTTAGGGAAGGAAACTGCCATCCTTGCCTGGTCTGGTCTACATGTGACTCCAGACCCATAGCAATGTGATTGAACCTGAACTACCCGCTGAACAATTAGGGATGGGCAATAAATCCTGCCTGGTCAGTGACGTCCTCATCCCGTGAACGAATAAAGGGAAAAAATTCCTTGAGACTTGCCATTGGGGAAAACAATGGAAGCCAGGCATTAAAAGCGAAGGGAACGTGCTGCCAGACCAACGACCCACGCACCCTTCCCGTGACCACCACCTGCCCCGACAGTAACAGCGTGTGGTAGCTGAATGGATCTGTACAGCCACCTACAGACTCACCCTGAGAGTGGAAGAGAGTCATCCTCGTCTGCGAGGGACCACCAATGATGATGATGATGATTATTGTCAATAGCTTTTGAAACTAATAATGCTTAGGAAAAGAAATCTGCTGACTCTACCTTGTCTGCTTTACATGTGACTCCAATATAGTTGAGTCTTAACTCGCCTCTGAGTGGTCTAGCAGTCATTCCAGAGGAAATTAGGGATGGGCAACAAACACACCGTCCTCACCAGCAAATGTCTACCCTCATTAAACAATTACAAAACAAAATTGCAAACAATCATGAGAAGCTATGACAGCTCTGATAAGATGGCGTTATACTGATAGAAATAAATCAAAACACTGTGAATTTTGAAGCAGTCTAGCCCAATGCAAAATGGTGTTACAATCTCAAGATGCAGCAAGATAAGTGAAGGAATTTGACCATCTTGAGAATTGCAGCTTACTCCTGAGCCCACATTCTGAGAAATCTAACCTTACTTAGAAATTAATAAGTTATATAGCCTTACTTATATAGCCTTATTTGGGATAAAGAAAGAAGCTGAACACAATTACAAATAATGTACCGCTCCGATACATGAGAAATTAGTTAGGTGGCCTCTGGTAACACCATACTTATCAAGAGCACACATGGGAATTTTAGATTCGCTGAATCTGCTGCAATGCATTTCGCAGTAAAATTAGAATGATTCAAGTTTGGTAGTGATAGTTCTCTCCTTAATTAGAACAGAGTTATCTTATTAATTCTATAGGCTTCATCGAGAATTAAAGTAAATGTTACTTTAATAATTGATAGATATTTGACTAAAAATGTTTTACTGAATCAATACTTGAACTTAAAAAATTTTTATATTGTGCATTTTCAAAAATTCTTTTTCACAGGAACAGGACAGACCTGCCCTTGTAATTACAAGTATTTATAACATTGATTCAGTTCTTCCCAATCTTAGGTTGTAAAGAATCAACTGTACATTTAAGGTTCTTGTGAAGATTTGTAGCTCGGGTTGTGGGTGAGGTTGTTGACTTGCTTGTTGAGCTGGCTGGTTGTAGTTCAGACTTTTCGTCACCATGCTTGGTAACATTACTAGTGCGGCCTCTGACGAAGTGATGTAGTTCTACTCCGCTTAGTATATAACATAAGTACTAAGCGGAGTAGAACTACATTGCTTCATCGGAGGCCACACTGATGATGTTACCTAGCATGGTGACAAAACGTCTGTACAATAACCAGCCAGCTTGACAAGCAAGGCCTCAATCAACTGTGCAGTATGCCTGACCTGGAATTGCCCCAAAAATGAGTTTAGTCTATACTCAATAATGACCTTGTCTCTATTTTCCTGTATGATAAAGGTCCATAAAATATCCAGTTTGATAGGAGAACAGTGCACAAAGTATTTCTTAAATAGCAGGAGGTCAGAAACATAGAAACATAGAAAATAGGTGCAGGAGGAGGCCGTTTGGCCCTTCGAGCCTGCACTACCATTCAATACAATCATGGCTGCTCATGCAACCCCATTCCTGCCCTCTCCCCATACCCCTCGATCCCTTTAGCCTCAAGGGCAACATTCAGCTCCCTCTTGAATGAACTGGCCCCGAGAGCTTTGTGTGATAGAGAATTCCACAGGTTCGCTAATCTCTGAATGAAGAAATTATTCCTCATCTCAGTCCTGAATAGCTAACCCTTATTGCTAGGCTGTAATCCCTTTCTGGACTTCCCCAACATTAGGAACATTCTTCCCACATCTAGCCTGTCCAGTCCCATCAGGGTTTTATATGTTTCCATGAGATCCCCCCTCATTCTTCTAAATTCCAGCAAGTACAAGCCCAGTTGATCCAGTCTTCCCTCATATGGCAGTCCTGCCATCCTAGGAATCAGTCTGGTGAACCTTCGCTGGACTCCCTCAATAGCAAGAATGTCCTTTCTCAGACTAGGGGACCAAAACTACACACACTCCTTAAGGTGTGGCCTCACTAAGGCCCTGTATAACTGCAACAAGACATCCTTACTCCAATACTCAAATCCTCTCACTATGAAGGAGAGCATGCCATTAGCTTTCCTCACTGCCTGCTGTACCTGCATGCCAACTTTCAGCAACTGTGACATCCACATTTCGTTGCACTTCACATTTTCCTAAACTGCCACCATTCAGATAATAATCTGCCTTCCTGTTTTTGCGACCAAAGTGGATAATCTCACATTTATCCACATTATATTGTATTTGCCAAGTATTTGCCAGTCTGTCCAAGTCACCCTCACAACACACACTGTCACCCAGCTTAGTGTCATCTTCAAATTTGGAGATACTGCATTCAATTCCTTCATCCAAATCATTGATGTATATTGTGAGCAGCTGGGTCACAGCACTGAACCCTGCGGTACACCACTTGTCACTGACTGCCACTCTGAAAAGGACCCATTTATTCCAACTCTCTGCTTCCTGTCTACCAACCAGTTCTCTATCCATGTCAATGCATTACCTCCAATATGATGAGCTTTAATTTTGCTTATTCATTTCTTGTGTGGAACCTTGTCAAAAGCCTTTTGAAAGTCCAGATACACAACATCTACTGATTCAACATTGTCTACTCTACTGGCCACATCTTCAAAAAATTCCAGAGAATGTGTCAAACATGATTTCCCTTCAGTAAATCCATGCTCACTTGGACTGATTCTGTGACTGCTTTCCAAATGCTCAGTTATTACATGCATAATGATTGACTCTAGCATTTAGAAAGTGTCGATGTACAAAGAGATTTGTATGTCCCTGTCAGTAGTCACTGAAGGCTAATGTGTGGGAACAGCAAGCTACAAGGAAGGTGAATGGAAGGTTAGCCTTTATCACAAGAGGATTTTAGTACAGGATTGAAGTTTGTTTGGACTTCACGTTGAGTCCTACAGTTTCAATCTCTATTGTCATAGGAGAAGTGCAACAATTTATCAACAGACTTGTTCCCAGGTTGGCATGACTATCACAGGAAGCAAAATTTGGAAAACAATGCTTTTATTTTCAAGTGTTTCAAAAAAATGAGAGTGATCGTACTGAAAATTACACAATACTACAAGAGATAGTCATGTTAGAGCGGATATAATGTTTCCCCTGGTTAGCGAGTCTAGAATCAGAACACACAGTTACAAAGCAGGCGGGATTTCTGAATAACAGTGGCGCAAAGGCTCATGGGATAGGCTGGGTAAAAGACATTGAAGTGTTGGATCAGTCAAGATTGTTCCAAAAGATGGAGCAGGCTCGGTGGGCTGAATTGCTAACTCCTGTTCCTATCTTCCAATGTTCCTGTGTGTCTATTATTTGGGAACTTGGGGTTCTCTAAGATGGAGAAAAGAAATCAATTTTAGTTATCAGTTTTGTGAAACCTAACTTGCATTTTTTAAGACCAGAAAGTCATGCTTGAGCAAGAAAGAAATATTTTTCAGTTCAAAACAGCATTATCCAAGAGCTCATGTAATTTCAGTTGAAATTACATGAGCTCAACTGAAAACCTAATGTTTGCTGACTTGCATTTCAGAGACAGGGTCAGGGAACTAGAAATAGATCCCTTCAAACAGTAGGAGCCCAAAACAGTAGAGCTGTCATTGCTAGCAGTTACTAAGCAGTCATGAATAGGGAGGGATTCTGAGAAGGAAGCTTCAGAAGAACAATACTATCCTTTTGATTATTGATGACTCAATGGGCCGAAGGGCCTTTTTTGTGAGTTGTAGAGCCTCCATAAGTCTTGGTATGAGGGGTAAGAGAGGCAGACATCCCATAAGACTGTTGAAGACACAAGTTTAGGGATGTGGTAGTAGGTGAGCTGAGTTAATCACAGCAGCACAGAGGAGGCCATTTGGCCCACATTGTGCCTGCATCGACTCTTCTCTGTTGGTCGCACTCTACACTAAAGTGCCTGATGCCCAGTTGCCCTTGGGCTTGAATTTTCAGTGAATTGTGAAGCAAACAGTTTGGATCTGAAGGGCACAGGGGAAGGCTTTGCTA